GCCGGCCCAATTTTTTTTTTTTTTTTTTTTTTTTTTTGGCACCTGGCTGGTACAGGGATTGAACCCTGGACCTTGGTGTTATCAGCACCACTCTCTAACCAACTGAGCTAACCAGCCAGCCCCATAGACCAGCCCAAGTTTTGTCTTTTCTTGGACTTCATGTATATAGAATCATGAATTTTGACTATTGTAACCACCACTCAGAAGATTTAGAAAATTAACTTTTTACTGTTTGTTTTTCATGTGTATCTATGTCCGTGTTCCTTTCTGCATTAAGTCATGGCCTAATAATCAAAAGATAAATTGTCACAAGAGGTGATAATTAGCCATAGCATGCTAAACATGGCTGTAACGGGATTTTGCTTTGATTGCTTCATCTTTTTTTCCTTCCAGAAAGCGGCGTGGAGCTTTTAACAGCAAGCAACTTTTGTATTTGGAGAAGTATCGCCCTAAAATGCGGCTGCGCTTCAAAGACTCCAATGGTCATAGAAATAACTGTTGCATTCAATAAAACTGGGGTGCCCGATACTGTTGCTTTGGAAGTGGAACTTAGGCAGGACCTAATTTGTCATGCATACTAGTCAGTGTTGCCTTTGTCTTGTGCAGAACATGTAGAATATGCTCTTTAATTTAGTAAATATTTTTTTTAAAGGTAGAGATGCTTTGTTATTGTAGCTAAAGCAATTCTTAATCATAAAATTCTTGAAATTCTTTTTCCCCCCATACTTATCAGAAGTTGTTTATCAACTTATGTTTGTTTGAAGTGTTTTTTCCCCCCTTTTCTTCCCAACCTCTCTTGCAAAAAAAGAAGTGGGTTTCTGCTAATGAATTGAGAAGATATCTAATATTTTATATGCCTTTTGAGCTGTGTAACTTAATATTTGGATACTTGATAATTTGTTTTATTATGTAATTGATAAAATGGTGATGTGTATTAATGTTAGTTCAACCATATATTTATACTGTCTGGGAATGTGTGGTTATAGTTCTGTGGGGAGAAATAATTTGTCAGTGTTCACCAGCTTGTAAAAACTTAGTGCGAGAGCTTAAACATCTAAATAAATAATGAAATGCATTTATCATCATTGACATTGTTTTGCTTGAAGTTAACTTATTTTGTAGAAAACAAAATGAATTGCACTTCACTTGATGCCATTCAACATAAAGTGTGTCCTCATTTTTCTTTATAAATGAAGGATTAAATGAAGTCAGCAGCATTTCAGTAAGCTTTTAGAGAAAATTTGTTAGGGTCATGAGAACTATTTAATACTAAAAGCTCTTTCCATTATAAACTTTCCTTTTTAAAGGTCTAGATGATTTTGAGCCAATTTATTGTGTACGGAGGAGAAACTATAGTAGAGGAAGTCTTTGATTTTTAAGCTCAGTTCCAGTAATTAGTGCTTTTGAGCAACTTAACTTTTTTTTTGGCAGCTGGCCAGATCAAACCCTGGACCTTGGTGTTAGAACTACACTTTAGGGGCCGGCCCGGTGGCGCACTGGATATTGCGCTGCTTGGGAAGCGCGGCTGGCGCTCCCGTCCGAGGGTTCGGATCCCACATACAGACCGGCTCCCGCTCACCGGCTGAGCAAAGCGCGGGGGGAACACCGAGGGTTG